AGGGACTACTCAACATAAGTGAGATTTCCATCGCATATAAGCTCTTAATCTCTGAACATACAAAGGACACCGTGTAACGGAGGCATGACGCGAAGCAATTGGAAACATAGAAGAACTAAGCACCTGAGCTTGTTCGTTTCATTCGCAATCTACACAGCCAAGATTAGCTGAATACTTAAATAAAATATAAAGAGGCAAATGGAATGATGGCTTGAATACCATGACTAAATGATCGGGAGGGCGCCTTGGAGGGCAGAATGCTAGAAACTGTTATATACCTTTAATTTCAGTAAAATGGCAAGACATTTTTGGCTGCTTTAACTGCTATTGGAAAAGAACTCTGCGGAATTGATACTAGCCCCCATTTAATTATTTTTAAGAGGCATTTACCTCTTCCTAGTACCACGGCGGCTAGATTGGCATGTATCGAAGAAAAGTTAATCGGCAATTCTAGAGATGAAGGAGCTATCATTTTCGCAGAATCGCGACCGTTTACTTCTACATGCATATCGATGTATCCGCGTTAAAATTAGTGAGTGAGAAGCTCCTAATGGTATGCAAGGCTTTTCGTTACTTTAAATCCACCTTCCTCATCATCTCGTGTTTGTAGTTTACCTTCTACATTGTGTTTCGTCGTAGTCCGTTCCTATTTCACTCTTTCAGTGATTAAGGAATAATTATTCTGCGTCTTTGTTTTTATTCACTGTGATTTATCAGTTTGCTACTACTCCTTCCCCCTATTTTTCTAATAAGAATTTATCAGAATATTTTGGGGTTCCAAACATTAGATTTGCATGTCTTGCAGCAATTTTTCTTAGATAGTTTAGTGTTTAGTGTTAGTGTGAAAAAAGTAGCAATAAAATACCGTGCCAAACTAGATGTACGTGCCAACTTCTTTTCTCGCCGGATCATTACAGACTGGAGCAAACTACATTCTGTTGGTTTTCCCAAACGTTCTGACGCATTTAAAAGAAGGCTTGATAATGCCTTACTTGATTTCATGCATTTTGTAGACAACAACGATTAATACAATGTTCATACACGTTTTCAAAGTCTGTATCTATCGCTCTTATATAAACGGAATACTGATTTCCTGACCATAATTGCTGGTGTCCGTCAATCTAGGTATCTAAAACAAACCCAGCTTGGTGGTAATCATGCTCCTTCGCGAATTGATCGTAGCCCATATAACAAGTTTTCGCGTTTGATGAATGTCCGCGATAACTTCCGTCAATGGAATTGGACGACGAAGTTCTGAGAGAGTTATATACCTGGGTTGACGCCATTCCACTCTCTCGTCCAAAAAAGAATATTGCGAGGGATTTTTCTGATGGTGTATTGGTGGCAGAAGTTGTGAAGCATTTTTTTCCTAAATATGTTGATCTCCACAATTTTCAAACTTGCAACCGAGTTGAAGCAAAAAGGAATAATTGGCTAATGCTTAACTGGAGGATTTTCAACAAATTTAATTTTAAGCTTTCCGATGATGTAATTGATGCCTTAATAAACGCGCGACCCGGGACGATTGAAAAACTCCTTTTGTTACTACGATCCAAGATCAATAAACAACTGGAAGAAGTTGATCCCGACACTATAGATGAGGAGCAATTTCTGCACCAAAAGCCCTCGAAGATGCCTATCTCACCAGTTAACATAAAGTTGGCTGGACAGAATAATAATGTTCAAACACTACGAACTGACGATTTTCGCGATGCTGCACAAAAGATCCTATTGCAAAAGAACACAAAGGCGAGTAGACAGCTAATTACACCAACATACAGTTCTTCGAAGCCAACTGTGTCCACAAAAGCTGATTCGGATGACAATCTACGTCTTCTCTATGAGCAAAAGGTTCAAGAATGTTTGGCCTTAGAAGAGACCGTTGAAATTTTAAATGCGAAAATAAAACGAATGGCCCACTTACTGGAGCTCAAGGATATTAGAATCAACGAACTGCAAGCAAACCTAAACTACTAACTTGTTGATAGATATGCACCTTTCTAATTTTCTATTTTATGAATATCTTTATGAACGAAAACTTTTTTTAAAGTAAAGATTTTTTGCACTGATGCCTCTTTTTAGATGTGGAAGAGGTACAACGAATTTAATATTGTTCTTGTCAGAGTTGCCGCCCGTCTTAAAGCAAGTGAGCTGGGAAAAAGAATGACCTTAATTTTCGAATTTAACAAACCTTTCCTGCCTTGTTGACTTTTTGGTTCAGAGAACCCTTTCCGTTGCTTCTTCCTGTGATATCTTTCTTTAGATTAATCAAACGTGCCTTGGTTATCCCTCAAGTGTCTTTGTTGCATTCTCTTCCACCCCATATTTAATGAGTCTATTATGTCTTTAACGTCAGGAATCTCACCAAATGATTAATGTTTTCATTTATGGTATTACCTAGTTATTACCATCTTTAGAATCGCGTATTGTGGAACTGCGCTATTTTCATGATAAAAACCATTCAGATAGAGGAAACTTAAATTTTTAAGAATGATTTAGCAGATTTCAGTAATTCATTTGACTCAATTGCGAAAACATCGACGGCCTCGGTGAGACTCAGACCCAGAGCAGCAAGGAAATGCTTTAGTATGGCTATCATCCTCCCTGTTGCAACTAAACCATCTTAAGACAGTTCATCCGCTTATTGCGGATATGGTAATGTTCTCATACGTGAAATGAATGCATTTGGAATTTACTTAAGGTAGTTGCCTAATTTACCAATGGGAAAGAAATCAATGATACAACGGGACAAACCTAAAGTACATTGGGTGTTCAAATCGCACTTGGCCGTCGAGTTTTTCACAATTGAGTGAACTGAATTAGTGAAGTCTGCCAACCCCTTCCTAATAATTAAATGCGCCCAGTAGTCATCTGGTATATTCTAGAATGATTTCTTAAGAAATCCTGCTTGGACAGTCAGTTAACTGTATAAAATTTAGTGGGTTCCATAGGTTGCAGTAGGCTGGGCAGATAAATCGACCCACGGTTCCCGACCCACGAACTCACGGTTCCCGATGGAGCCTGGATAGCTCAGATGGCTAGAAAGTTGGTTGTACTCAAG